ACTTGAATCTTCTTCTGAATTGACTGGAAATTCTAGAAAAACACAATTCCATTACATTTAAGAAATGTCACTCTGGATAAGGAATTATAGGGGAAAGCAAAGCAGGAATAGGGCTGCTAATTTAGGGGTTACTGTAAGGGCTAGAGAGGCATGACTGAAGCGATAAAGTGCATACCTAGCAATCATCAGATCCCGAGTTCAAATCCAAGACCCTCCTCTCAAAATGAAGTATTATAGATGATGATGGCTCTGTCTGGTCCATTGGAATAATGCAATGAAGAGAATTGGACTCATTTAGACTATATTTGAAGGTAAAACTGGCAGAATTTGCAATTCAGTTGTGTGAAAGAGTAGAATCAAGGCTGCATAACAAAGATGGCTTTATTTGAGTGAAGAAACATTTATCTCTAGAGAAAAAAGGTATCATGCTTTTATTACCTAGTATAGCATTTGTAGGAGGTAGTTAAGAGTATGAACTCTGGAGCCAGCCCATTCTGCTATGTACGTGGACTAAGTTCCCCAGCATTTCTATAATTCATTACTTCATCTATAAAATGAAGGCAGTAACATGCAGTTTACAAGACTGTTGCAAAATTAAATGAGTTGAAATTGATCAAGTTAATATAGACTCCAGTGTTTGCTTAGATTGGAGACTATATACTATTAGTTTTCATTATTTCTAGGGGTTTGGTTTTTTTCAGGCAGGGTCTTGCTGTCCTCATACTTGTCACTTTCTGGTCTCGTCTACCAAGTGCTAAGATTACAGGTTTTTACAAGGATAATTTTGAGTCTACATACTGTTAACCATATGGAAATACTGTGTTTTTTTTTTTAATAGCTGTTTGTTGCTAACAAAGATCTGCAATCTGCCTTAATAGTGTCTCAATGTCAAGTGTCTCTGAGTGTGCTCTTACACTGTGGTGTTATAGACTGAAGAAATGTTCTTCTGAAAGACTTGTCAGATATGTTAGATTTTTTACAGCCATGCTTTATACAGTATTTATTTGTTTTCTAAAAAAATCTGTTAATTCTATATCTGTGAAATTACAAGATGTAGAGAAGAATTTTGTTCATTTAGTTTTTATAGACTTGCAAATTGGGTAGAATTTGATTCTTGCTTTTAGTGTAGCAGCACTAAATAGAAAAAATTCTTGCTAGGAACTTGCTGTTATTAATGAAGTCTTTGGGGCAGCTGGCAAAACAGGAACTGCTCATGAGGCTTCAGTAGAGAATGTCAAGAATGATATCAAAAGTGTCTTTTTAAAAATTATGGATATATTGGGCTGGGAAGGTGGCTCAGTGGTAGAGCGCTTGCCTTGCATGCATGAGGCCCTGGGTTCGATTCCTCAGCACCACATAAGCAAAAAGAAAAAAGCTGGAAGTGGCGCTGTGGCTCAAGTGGTAGAATGCCTGCCTTGAGCTGAAGAGCTGAGGGACAGTGCCCAGACCCAGAGTTCAGGTCCCACGACTGGACCCCCCCCCAAAAAAAATTACAGATATACATGTAAATTTCCAGATCTCAGAAATGGGATGAACAGTGCAGCTCAACTGCAGTGGGAGTTGTATATATACTTCATCAACTTCAATGATTCATGATTCGTGTGCTGTACTGTATAGGTATACCTGCCCTGGTATGTAATACAATACAGTGAATGGACTTTAACTGCATCAGTGTAGTTGAATCTAAAAGTATAATGTTGAGCAGGGGAAAAAGTGAAGTAATTTGATACTGTGCATAGGTGTAAAATGCTATGCATATAAACAGTCACACATGAATATAGTTAAACTACAAAGAATACTAATTACAAACTTAAGGTGATTTCCATATTGGGAAGGAGAAAAGGGTTCAGAGATTAAATAGGAGGCTTTAGTAACTTTTATTGGCAGGTTCATGGATGTTTATTAAAACTCTAGCTGTCTATACACATTATATGATATATGTGATAACTTTATAATGTGTTAAAGTATGAGACAATCTAAGCTTTTGAGATCAGTTTGGAACTTAGAAAAAGCAGGTTGCAAAAGAATGCAATCCCTGGTAACTGCTGAAAGGTATGCTAAATGCATATTCCTAAACTTCAGTTCTTGAAGAATTGATTTTTATAAAGAAAACAGGAACAAAAATCATTGCAGTTAAGAACATGGCTGAGAAGCAGGGCAGTGTAACTTCCACACAGCCTCAGGAGCTTCATTTGTTTGTTTTGTGATAGTAGGGGTTGAACCCAGAGCCTCTACCATTTATGTCTCCAGCCCTTTTGTTTTCATTTTGTTTGTGTGACATGATCTGGTTAGCTTTGCAAAGTGATAACCTTGGATTCTTTTTTTAAATATATAATTCATTGTTATTATTAGATATTGTACAGAGGAGTTACCATTTCATAAGTCAGGTAATCAGTACATTTGTATTTGGACAGTGTCACTCCTTCCTTCACTTTCCTCCAGTTTCCCCCTGCCGTCAGTCCCTGCCAGAAAGTACATAGTTCATTTTCCACATAGTCTATACTGAATAGCATGGTTGAATTTGTTTACCCTGCTGCTGCTTTTCCCCTCCCCCCAAAAACCCTAAAGCAAAAACAACCACCATCATGAACAATAACCACAAAAGTTTCCATTTCTTAGAATCCATTTTAATTAATAATACCCTAAATGTTCAGAGAAGTTACACCTTTGGGTTCTTCCCCTAAGGATATCCTCCTTTAGTCTGTGTGTGAATGCCTAGAGTCCCATATAGGTTATCATGCCCAGTTATATTTTAGATCCAGCTTCCACAATTGACAGAAAATGCACTGTTTGTTTCTTTCCTTTTTTTGGGGGGGGGGTCCGGTCGTGGGGCCTGAACTCTGGGCCTGGGCGCTGTCCCTCAGCTCTTCAGCTCAAGGCTAGCGCTCTACCACTTGAGCCACAGAGCCACTTCCGGCTTTTGTTTTTTCTGCTTATGTGGTGCTGAGGAATCAAACCCAGGGTCTCATGCATGCAAGGCAAGCGCTCTACCACTGAGCCACCTTCTCAGCCCGTTTGTTTCTTTGAGCTTAGCTTACGTCACTTAGTGTGATCTATAATCTTGGATGCTATTCTCATGCCTCCACCTCCCTAGTAGCTGTGGTTATGGAACATATACCAATATGCCCAGCTGTTTGGTTTGAGACAGTATCTCCCTGTTATAATCCAGGCTACCCTTGAACTTGGATCTGGCCTGCTTCAACCTGAGGCTCCTCTGTTTTTTGTTTTTTGGGGGGGAGGGGTCTGGTTGTGGGGCCTGAACTCTGGGCCTGGGCGCTGTCCCTCAGCTCTTCAGCTGAGGTTAGCACTCTACCACTTGAGCCACAGCACCACTTCCGGCTTTTTTCTTTTTGCTTATGTGGTGCTGAGGAATCGAACCCAGGGCCTCATGCGTGCAAGGCAAGCACTCTACCACTGAGCCAACCTCCCAGCCCCTCCTCTGTTTTTTTATGTCCATCCAGACTTTCTTTAGTTCTTGATATCCTTTTTAAAAGCATTCTGTTTAAGACCTCACCTTCCATCCTTTTCTTTCAAAACCATTTGAAAAATCTTGTAAATGAGGAACTTTTGTGGATTTTTAACCTATTAATATAAAACAACAGTATCATAATTGCAAGAATATTAGGAAAGTTGAAAGCTACAAAAAAACTTTTTTCTCATTTGATACATGGAATTGGAAACAAAATAGTCAAGAATCCAATTTCATTTGCATTTAGGTATCTTTGTAAGTTATCTTGTTTTTCAGGTGAAGTAGCCATCAGACCATAAAATCTAAATAAAAATACTTGAAATCAAGTTTTCAAATCATTGTATCACGGAACTTTAATGCCATGCCGCATATTAGAAAATAAGCATTTGGTTGGGAATGTAACTCAGTCAGTGATAGAGCACTTGTCTATAATATGGGTCCTGGGTTTCCAGTGCCTGCCCCATGATCACAAATAAGCATTTCTATTACATTTATCTCAAAATGATAAAAATTTTAATGTATTTTTAATTTTACCCTTTAAAGTAATAGGAATATATAACTCAGGATGAATAAAGTTATGTAATTTATGAGGATAATATATGCATACATCCATATAAATTGAGTGGATTTACTTTTTATAAATGGGATATGGAATTTTGTTATGAAATTCAATAATGGTCAAAGACTTAAAAGATTTCTTGGAGGAGGTGAGTCTGTTTCAAGTGTATTAGAAATTAGTGAATAGAAATACCACGATGAAACTCACTTTTATTACAAACTATGCTAATTCAAAAATAATAAAAGAAAAAGTAAAAAAACACCTTAACAGCATAGTCAAGAATCAAATAGAAGTCAAGTTAATCTAGGCTATTGTCTTCCAAAGTATTTTCAAATCACTAGCTTGCTGCTTTTATATATATATTTATAATATACACACACACACACAGAGATAATTAGGGAGTTACAATTCCTAAGTCAGGTAATAATTACAGTGCTTCTTGGACATTGTCACTCCTTCTTTTGTTTTCCCCCATTTTTCCTTTCCTATCCCTCCCTACAAGTTGAATAGTTCATTTTTTATGTAGTGACTATTGAATGCAAGGACTGCGTTTGGTCACGTTTCCTCCTTTCATTGCTGTGCCTTTTAGCCCCCCCCCATCCCCCCAAAAGACAATACTAGCATGCTATTTGAAGATCTCATCCAAGATCTTTTTTTTGACCTTTCTCAAATAAAGGGTGCCATTTGGGAACAAGCAAGCCAAGTGAGAGCTCAAGGACTTGAGTTTAAACCCCAGGACTGGAACCCCCCCCCCAATTACTAATACCTATACTCCATCTCCCAGAAATTCTGATTTAATTAGTCTGATTTTAACTGTTCTAGAAGTAGGGGGAGAATTTTTTTTTTATTCCAGTAAAGTGGGATAATACTGAAAAATACTTAAGGTAAGAGTTACTTGAGAACAAGTAGAATACTGTAGACAAGTTAAGAAATTTAAACATTTAACACCTATAATTTTTTTCCCCCTTCCAGGTTCATTACTAAAAATGGGTGCATTTTTGGATAAACCCAAAACTGACAAACATAATGCTCATGGTGCTGGGAATGGCTTACGCTATGGCCTGAGCAGTATGCAAGGATGGAGAGTGGAAATGGAAGATGCACACACAGCTGTTGTAGGTATTCCTCATGGCTTGGAAGACTGGTCGTTTTTTGCAGTTTATGATGGTCATGCTGGATCCCGAGTGGCAAATTATTGCTCAACACATTTGTTAGAACATATCACTACCAATGAAGACTTTCGGGCAGTGGGCAAACCAGGACCTGCTCAGGAACCTTCAGTGGAAAATGTCAAGAATGGTATCAGAACTGGCTTTTTGAAAATTGATGAATATATGCGTAACTTTTCAGATCTCAGAAACGGGATGGACAGAAGTGGTTCAACTGCAGTGGGAGTTATGATTTCACCTACACATATCTACTTTATCAACTGTGGTGATTCACGTGCTGTTCTGTATAGGAATGGACAAGTCTGCTTTTCTACGCAGGATCACAAACCTTGTAATCCAAGAGAAAAGGAGAGAATCCAAAATGCAGGAGGCAGCGTAATGATACAGCGTGTTAATGGTTCATTAGCAGTGTCTCGTGCTCTGGGGGACTATGATTACAAGTGTGTTGATGGCAAAGGCCCAACAGAGCAACTTGTTTCTCCAGAGCCTGAGGTTTATGAAATTTTAAGAGAAGAGGATGAATTTATCATCTTGGCTTGTGATGGGATCTGGGATGTTATGAGTAATGAGGAGCTCTGTGAATTTGTTAAATCTAGGCTTGAGGTATCTGATGACCTGGAAAATGTGTGCAATTGGGTAGTGGACACTTGTTTACATAAGGTATGTAAGCTTTTTTTTTAAACGATTAAAATACTTTATTTTGAAAAAGCATGGTAAGTAAATTTAAGCAAACAAGTTTTTAAAACTGTTTATTTTTAAATGACTTTCTTCATCAAAAAGAAAACTATTCTTTTCACTACTTCCATCTGCCCTAGTCTTCTAATTATTTGAATAGTAAGTTCAGTAAATTTAAGACATACGTCATTTGATTATTCTGTGGCTTGTTGCTGTAGCAGAGTCATCTATACAGAATTGTAACTTTTGATTCAAATTCTTGGTATTGGAAGTGGACATCCTACTCATAATTTGGTAGTAGCTTAAGATGTATTTATTAAAATACTGCATTACTAAAAAAGTTTACTTTTCTTAAAAGTATATGTAATATGTACATACTACATAGTATATATAATATATAGCCTATACCAAGAAGCTACGCTTAATTAAAATTTAGTTCTAATTCTTCTAGCATTCTCTATTCACTGTCTAGAAAGCTTTCCATATCAATACAAACTTAAGTGGAATTTTCATATAACTAAGTAATATATGACTTGGTGGATAGTCTCTCACTTTTGTAGAAGATACCAAAATTGGTTTCATAGATATTGTCACTGATTAAAACCCAAACCCTTATGTACTCCTATAAAAAAATTCCTTTAGAAGTTTTAATAGTTGGTTCTCCAGAATATCTTTAAAATATTTATTTTAAATGTTTTTAATATATTTATTTTAAATGTTTTAAATATTTTAAGTGTTTGCCAATACCTATACAAAAAATAACTAAAATTTGAGTGAACTTGGCAAGTGCCTTGAGTGTGCATGTATGTATTCTATGATCCTGACTAGAAAGACACCAAAAATGATTGTGAAACAGAATTTAGCTTACTCTGTCTGCATTAGAACCATACTGTCTCTGTGGTAAGCAGAGACTTAGCCAGAAAGAGTGTGTGTGTGTGTGCGTGTGCGTGTGCGTGTGCGTGTGTGTGTGTGTGTGTGCCCAGTTGGGATTTGAATCTAAGGGCCTTGTATTTCTTGGCAGGTTCTTTACCTCGTGAACTATACTCCAAACCCTTTTGTGCTTTGGCTGTTTTCCAGATAAGGATTTGTGCTTTCTGATAGGGGCCAGCTTCAGTCTGCAATCCACTTACCTCTGTCTCTGAGTAGCTGAGATTACAATCTTGTACTACCACACCCAACTTGTTTGTTGAGATTGGGATCTTGCTAACTTTCACTGGCCTCAAACTGAGAGCCTTGTGATCTTTACCTGCTAAGTATCTGGAATTACAAGCATGAGTCACTATGCTAAGCAAATGTGAATGTTTTTATAAAAAAATGAAATGCGGGCTGGGAAGTTGGCTCAGTGGTAGAGTGCTTACCTTGTATGCATGAGGCCCTGGGTTCAATTCCTTAGCACCACATAAGCAGAAAAAGTCAAAGTGGCCCTGTGGCTCAAGTTGTAGGGTGCTAGCCTTGAGCTGAAGAGCTGAGGGACAGCGCCCAGGCCCAGAGTTCAGTCCCCACGACCAGCAAAAATAAAAATAAAAAATAAATAATGAGATGCATAGGGTTAGGAGCAAGGCTGTCAAGAGGTAGGATGCCTGTGAGGCCTTACTAGTACCTCCATTTAAAAAAAGAAAAAATAAGAATCATTACACTTGCTATGCCTGCTTTTTCTTACAATATATTGTAGAAAGATACCTTTGTGAAAGTACTGAGCTACATTTTTCATAGCTGCATTTTTCATTTTCTGTAAGCAACATGTTTTAGCCTTGGTCCAAACTTTTCCATCCTTAAAAGAATCAATGATGGATAACCCTTTTTTTTCTGCCAACGGCCATCCAGATATTTACAACACCATTCAAAATAGCACCATATGAAATTATGAATTCAGGAAAACACAATAGCTAAATGAGCTACTGGCAGCCAATGAGAAGCATACGTTGCTGTTACATGATTTGCAAATGATTTGTCTAGTCTTATACTTCTTAGAGGGTTTTCCACTGCTGGAAAGGAAACTAGTTGTCAGAACTGTGACAAACCTTTAGATTAATGCTGATCTAAACTTGGTAACTTTTTGTTTGTTTGTTTGTTTGTCCGTCGTGAGGCTTGAACTCTGGGCCTGGGTGCTGTCCCTCAGTTCTTCAGCTCAAGGACAGTGCTTTACCACTTGAGCCACAGTGCCACTTCTGGTTTTCTGCTGGGTTATTGGAGATTAGAGTCTCATGGACTTTCCTGGCCTGGGCTGGCTTTGAACCATTATCCTCAGATCTTAGCCTCCTGAGTAGTTAGGATTACAAGCATGAGCCACCAGCGCTGGCGCCCGTTTTAAACTTGGTAACTTTTATCAGGGTAATTAAATGTTGATGCTATTAGACCTAGTCTAAAATCTCAGAAATGAGGAATTCTAGTAGCATATGAAAGGTTGGGTCAGGAAATCCATTCAGTTTTTGTGAAAGCTGTTATATTTCATTTAAATAAAGATGCATTCAAATTGAAATAGATTTTTGAGAAACTTAGCTGAAAAGGTGACAGGTTTATGAGTTTCTCTTAACCACTGAAAATACTTAAGGGATCTTAAGGAATCTCCATTTCTGTTTTGTAGCTCCATAATTTTGTCATTCATTCTACTTGATGGTATTGTAGAACCAAAGGTTAGTTAGCTCTACTATAAGATAGAATATAACTGCTTGGAATTTAATATGAAAGATTATATATAGGTCTTGGAATGTGGGTTAGTGGTAGAGTGCTTGCCTAGCATACATGAAGCCCTGGGTGTGGTTCTGCAGTACCACATACACAGAAAAAGCCACCAAAAAAAGCAGCTCAGGGACAGTGTCTGGGCCCTGAGTTCAAGCCCCAGGACTGGAAGGGAAAAAAAAGAATTGACAAAAAAAGGGGGTGGGGAGGAATCACATGGGCCGGGAGACATACATTTCCCAATGCCATGCTCAGTGTCAGTGTCAAGAAATTGTTTTCTCTTTAAAAAAAAAAAAAAAAGATGTAAACTTTTAAATCCACAGAAAACAGGGACTTCCCAGTAGTGTTACCAACTTTGAGAGAAGATCCTATTAAGGAGATATTTCCCTGAGAGATTTAAGTGAAGTCAGTGTTTTCTAACACCTCTAACACTTGTCATGTCTTAATGGCTTATAACACTTTTGTATGTTAATTTCATAATACCTTGGAAGGTTGTGGTACTTAATCACAAAATTATCAGTAAATTCTTGACTTTGTGAGTCAAATACTGTTCTAAGCATTTTGAACATGTTTTAACTCACTTAATTTTACAACAGTTGAATAAGTTAACATCCTATTTGTTAGTGATAATCCTTTTTTATGATTGTTAAGCTATAATCGTTAAATGATTCAGGTCAGATATCCTATTTATATTACATATTTAACTGTAGAGAATAGTCCCTCAGAAAACAACCTTTTCATTTTATTACCAGTGATACGATTCCTGGTATTTATCACCAAATAATACCAGCTTTTATAAAATACCTAATTTCTATTAGAATACTATTTTAAAACTTACAAATCATATATACTTTATTAATCTTTGTCCTAATCTGCAATGAACAAAATGATTTTTTTTTCTGGTCCTTGGGCTTGAACTCACAGCCTGGGTGTGGTCTCTGAACTTTTTTGCTCTACCAGCTGAGCCATACCTCCGCTTCTGTCTTTTAGGTGGTTAATTGGAGATGAGAGTCAGGGACTTTCTTTTATAGACTGGCTATGAACAGTGATCCTCATATCTCACCTTCCTAAGTAGCTAAGATTACAGGTGTGAGCCACTGGTGCCTGGCTAAAATATTTTATTTTTATTTCCAGTTGCAAGATTAAAAAATAGTTGTCCTATACTTAGGATTCTTGAAGCTGAGACTAGAATCTTAAAATTTCTGAATCAAGGGGCTGGGAAGATGGCTCAGTGGTACAGTGCTTGCCTTGCATGCCTGAGGCCCTGGGTTCATTCCTCAGCACCACATAAGCAAAAAGAAAAAAGCCGGAACTGTGGCTCAAGTGGTAGAGCGCTAGCCTCGAGCTGAAGAGCTGAGGGACAGCGCCCAGGCCCAGAGTTCAGGCCCCTGACCGGACCCAAAAAAAAAAAAATTTCTGAATCAAGTTTGGTATATTTGTTAGAAATGTTTTCCAGAATGGTGTGTGATAGAATGTTTCTGTTTATGTGTATGTGTGGTATTGGATTTTGTTGTTGTTGTTGTTGTTGTATTTTATCTGAAAAGTTTTCCCCCAAGGGAAACAAAAACATTTCTTTTTTCAATTATGAAAATGTTCATAATAAATACAAATATGTTTGAAGTAAAATTACTCCTTTTTCTGTTCCTTTCCAGTTTTACTTCTTTTAAGAGTTTTGCTGTTTATCCTTCCAAGTGATACCCCCCCCCAATCTCTCTCTCTCTCTCTATTTCTCTCTCTTTTGTAGGAACTGGGACTTGAACTCAGGTACTTTTGCTCTTGCTTGGCTTTTTTGCCCAAGGCTACTATCCTACCCCTTGAATCATACTTCTGGCTTTTTGTTAGTTTATTGAAGATAAGAGTCTGCCTGGACTAAATTCATACAGCGGTTCTCAGGTCTTGTCCTTCTGAGTAGCTAGGGTGTGAACCACTGGTGCCTTCTACAAAGATATAAGCATAAAATTAGGCATGATTGTGTACGTCTGTGACTTCAGCACTCAGGAGGCTGAAGCAAGAGGATTGGGAGTTAGGATAGCCAGACCCTGTCTCCCACATAACAAAAGACCCAAATATTTACCAGTAACACTCAACCTAAAAATTTTAACAGTAAAAATAGTTCCCCCCCCCCGTTTTACAAAAGTTAATAATCATTTCCATGGTGCCTTACCACCTACTTTATTTTGCTTGTACCATAAAAATCAGTAGCATTTCTTAGCTGGGCATGGGAGGGGGTGGGGAGGTGGCTCATTCCTGTATTCCTAGCAACTCAGACTGAGATCCTGATGAACTTGGTTTCAAGTCTACGAGCCTCTTCCCTCCAAAATAACCAGCAAGAAGCCACACCAGAGACGGCTCAGTGAGAAAGCACCAGCTGAGCAAGCAAGTGCAAATCCCCGATTTAAAACGCCTGTCTGTGTTTAGGGAAAAATTATCTTTATATAGAAATAGCACACTGGCACCTCGGACCTACCTCCTAGGTACACTGTTTGGGAGAAGACATGGGTTTAGTGTTAAGAACATAGGCTTAGTGGGGAAAAATAGAACATAGGCTTGGAGCCAGCCAGCTGGGTTGTAAGTTATGTTAAGGCATTTACTGAATTTGGGTGAAGCTTTTTTAAAAATTTTCAGTCCTGGCGCTCGAACTCAGAGCCTGGGCGCTGTTCCTGAGCTTTTGTGCTAAGGCTAGCACTCTACTACTTTGAGCCACAGCTCTACTTCTGGTTTTCTGATGGTGATTGGAGATAAGAATTTCACAAACTTTCCTGCCAGGGCTGGCTTTTGAGCTAGGATCCTCAGCTCTTAGCCTTCTGAGTAGGATTACTCACTGGCACCTAGCTGCTTTCTTTTTTAAATCTTTATGAAAAGAATGATAGTATCTTCATGAGTTACTGTGCATAAAGCTTTTGCAGTGACAGAACATTTTCTGGTTTATAGGCCTCAGTAAATTTTAGTTCTATTGATGGTTAAAAGCAGAAATACATTTATATAGAGGATTAAATTCAAGTATAGGGTAATGATGGAAGCAGTTCTTGAAAGGAGTTAGTCATAAGCTTCCATCTTTTTGTACACAGGTATAGGTCTGTTCCTTAGGGCTGGCTGGTATTTGAAGCTATAGTAGATCACTATTTTGAGTGTCAGTTTAAAAAAGGATTTAAAGATGTTAGCAATTTCCATCTGATATATTTTTACAAATCTGTAGATTCTGGTCCTAATTACCACATGTACTTTGTGAAGATGTGCTTCTGGGTACTTCTTTCACCATTCAGTTTTATCTTTAAAGCTAATGATTTCAAACTTTTAATTTAGATGCCCTTATTTATGGATTAGTTACTGGCTTTTTTGACTCATTGCTATCTAGTAGTTCTTAATGTTCAAATGTTTTAAGTGTGTTACTACTGTGCTATTCAATAAGTTTAAAAAAAGACAAACACACACATACACACACAAATAACATACTCGTTCACATCTGGAATCATAGCTATATACTTGGTAGGCAGAGGTGGAGGATTGTAGTTTGAGAACAGCTGCTACAAACAGATGCCCATCTCAGCAATAAAAAGCTGGGCATGGTGGTGTGTGTCTTATCATTTCAGCTGCTAGAGAAGTTTAAGTAGGATTGTGGTCCAGGCTTGTCCTGGCCTAAAAAGAATAAAGCTAAAAGAGCTAGGAGTATAAATCAAGTAGTAGAATACCTGCCTGTCAAGCACGAGGCCCTGAGTTCAGACCTTAGTCACCATCCTTCTCCCAAGTACAGACTTATAATCTGGTTCTAAATATTTAGTTAATTATTTTAGATATCTAGTCTGAGTTTTTTTTCTTTTAACAAACATAGTTCAATTTTGGATGTAATAAAATGATTATACTGAGGATGCAAGGATGATTTGTCTATATAAAACTGAAAAGGCTTAAAAAAGCTATTATCTCTCAGTTGCTGTATCAAAACCTGGTGTTTAGGGAAACATCATCTTTATACAAATAGCAGCATCATTGAAATGATGCACATGTGAAGGAGGTGTTATTGTAAATTTGTCCTTTTGTTTGTATGTCGATCCTGGGACTTGAACTCAGGGCCTGGATGCTGTCCCTGAGCTTTTGGGGTTTTTTTGTTTTGTTTTGTTTTTTTCCTTCTCAAGACTAACACTCTACCATTTGAGCCACAGCTTAACTTCTGTCTTCTTTGGTGCTTAATTGGAGATAGAGTCTCAAGGTTCATCAGAACGAGCCAGCTACTGACATGGAGGCCATGATTGGCTTCCTCACAAAGGAGTGCTTTGCATCAGTATCTGAGGAAATACCTTTTCCACTACCTCTACTTCCTAATCGGAATGCCATTTGGTTTCTATCTAGATTGAATGCTGAAACCCCACTGTAATTTTCCATGCTTGTACCAGTAATGCCAAGACATAAGTCACTTGTACACATGGGAATAATTGTACATTTGAAACTGGGTTTCCAGTTTGCTGACTTTTTAAAATCTTGAACTGTATTTTTATAAAGCCAATGGGTTTTACTGCATTATTTGAATTCATCCACTGGTAAATTTTGTTTAAAAGAAAAAAAAAAGAGTCTCATGGACTTTCCTGTCTTGGCTGACTTTAACCTATGATCCTCAGATCTCAGCTTCCTGAGTAGCTAGGGTTAAGGTCAATTATATCCTTTAAATTATATCCTTTAAATACCTTTGGAAGGTCATTAACTTCTTGAGTTTTTCACTGCATTTTCCAAATGATAGGGTTATATTTTATAACTTACAGAGATCAAATGGAAATTTTATACATAGCATATTAATTGGAAATTGCTAAACAATGCAATTACCAAAGTAGGAAATGGTTAGGAATCATTAAATTTCTAAACATACTAGTTATTCACTCCATTTATTTATATATAGTTTAAAATTCTTTAGATTTTGAAATTTCTGCTTGACCTACATTCACATACATACTTGATGGCAGGTGATCTACTAATTGAGATATGTCTCAATTTCTACATACAGTATTTGTAATAGCAAGCCATAAAAGTTTATATAGATTTTATTATGAATAAAATTACTTTGGCCTATGTAGAAACCCTGACTTTCTAGATACCAAGAAATTGGTTTATATGCTCATGATGGGTCTTTTAGAATAAGGCTAAAGAGGCTGTAGGGTGAATTACTTTTTTAAAAATCTTGTAAACAGTTGGCTTTCACTGTTTTTAAACCTTGTTCTCTAATTTTGAAAGCGAAGCATAAGTTCTTCAAATCCTGCCTGTCATTTTGGCCATGCTATGTGGATTCTGACAAGTCTGACCGAAGCATTGCAGCCTAGATTCTTGCCATGATGACTAAAAAGTCTATTATCTTCTACTTGTGTTGCTAAACTTCACTATCAGACAAAATAATTTACCACTTCCATTTATTTATATTTTTAAAAGTCATTATTTGCTGCCTATGGTGGCACATGCCAATTAACCAAATCTTGGGACATGAAGGCAGGAGAATCACAAAGCTTAGGGCCAAAACTATCTTTAAAAAAAATGACTGTCTTAACAACAGTTTGATCTCCTCTAAGGAAAAGAGTAATAGTAAGAGATATATTGTTTATATCATGGTAGCATTTCCTTCTTAATAAAAGTTGTAAGAATATGATTAAATGAAAGTAAAATTTATATTTAAGTTAACCCTTTTAGTGGCTCTCTAAAGAACCTGAAATTATTTGTGATTCTATAAAACAGTATTATCTGATAGCTTTTAAATTTGCCACAATGAGCTCAGGGCTTAGTAGCACATGCATTGTAATCCGAACACTTAGGAGGCTGAGGCAGAAAGGTCTTGAGGCGCTGGGAAGGTAGCTCAATGGTCGAGTGCTTGCCTTGCATACATGAGGCCCTGGCTTTGATTCCTCAGCACCACATAAGCAGAAAAAGCCAGAAGTGGCTCTGGCTCTGAGCTGAAGAGCTGAAGAGCTCAGGGACAGTGCCCAGGCCCAGAGTTCAGACCCCACGACTGACAAAAAAAAGAAAAAGAAGATCTTGAGTTCAAGGCTAGCCTGGGCCTAGTCTCAAAAAAAAAAAGAGAAAAGAAAAGAAAAAGTTACCTGCCTATAACCCTATGTGTCAGCCATCTAGTTATGTTCTACTGTTTCATACTATATTCTCAGACAGTTTCAGGTATCCTGACAAGCTACGTTAAGTTCAGTAGAGTTGTGGTATTAAGCCATTCTTAGGACATTCTTATTTCTAAGGCTGTGAAATCGTCATTAAGAATAGTTAGAATTAAAGCTCAGAAGTAACTATATGCCTACACCTAGACATTTTGCCTCTTCAGATTGTATTTTAAATATTATTTTGGAGGGCTGGGAAGGTGGCTCAGTGGTAGGGCGCTTGCCTTGCATGCCTGAGGCCCTGGGTTCGATTCCTCAGCACCACATAAGCAAAAGAAAAAAGCCGGAAGTGGCGCTGTGGCTCAAGGGGTAGAGCGCTAGCCTTGAGCTGAATTGCTGAGGGACAGCGTCCAGGCCCAGAGTTCAGGCCCCATAACCGGACCCAAAAAAAAATATATTATTTTGGAATAAAAATTAATGTGTTGAATAATACATTCTAGAGGAATAATTAAATCTTAATTTTTAAAAGTAATTTCAGAAGTAATAAAAATTTGGTAAGACTATAGAAATATATTTTTTCTTTCTTTATAGGGGAGTCGAGATAACATGAGTATTGTATTAGTTTGCTTTCCAAATGCTCCTAAGGTCTCAGATGAAGCAGTGAAAAGAGATTCAGAATTGGATAAACACTTGGAATCAAGGGTTGAAGGTAAGAAAGATTTTTAGTTATGTTTTAGTTCATAAGGAAAGAAAGGATTTTCCTCCTTGAGTATCAGATGATTCTTTTAAAATTTCCTTAGGAACAATTATTTGAGAACAAAACCTTAAAACTGTGTCTATCTGCCTAACGTTTACTATCTTGTACCCCAAGGTATTTGACTTTGAAGAGAGTTGATTAATTTTTTTTCTAGGTTTGTAAGTACCTGCATAACTCCCCTAAACAAGTGTGTAATACTTTGGCTTTTTAGTCTGTAGTTTCTTTACCTCTAAATTAGTCTTGTTTATAGGTCTCAGTGAGTCCTGCTTTGGGAGTGATGAGAAAATGAGAAGCATATTTGGAATACTTTGGGGTGGTGTATTGATAGCTAAAATCTATCAGAAGACAGAAGAATAGTTATTAATATCTTATTTTCACATTCAGGAAAGAAATAAGAGCCAGGTGCTAGTGGCTCACTTGTAATCCTAGCTACTCAGGTGGCCTCAGCCATCTGAGGATCACTGTTCAAAGCCAGCCTGGGCAGGAAAGTGTGAGACTCAAATCTCAACTAAAAACTACCAAAAAAAACCCCAGAAGTAGAGCTGTTGCTCAAAATGGTAGAGCACTATAGGACTATATTGCTGAAAGCCAGTGAGGGTAATGAGAATAGATATCAAGGGTGAATAATTTTTTTCCCTAAACTGACTTAATTTTCTTGTATTTCATATATTGTGGCACAAGAGGGGCTTCATTTGGATATTTCCATACAGGTGTATAATGCATCCTGATATGCCTCGTCTCACCCTCTGTTACTTTCCCTTTCTCTCTTCTCCCCTTCTTAAAATAATCACAACAGGCTTCATTGTCATGAATGTATACAAACTGTTGGACTGTATTCATCCTCATTCATCAGGCCATATTCTTCAAGGGCTGAGAGGGAAGCCCAAGGTTGGCCTAGTCAGAACTCCATCCTGATAAAATGTTGATTAAAGCAGAAACATGAGATATTTAAGCAATTAGCATGATACCTAGCATATAAGTCTTCAGCAGATTATGTCTTTATCAACTTTTGACTTCTGTAACAGCTTAATTTTAATTCTCAAAAGCATCTCAGTCCAATATAGATATAGTTAATAATTTTATATAGTTTGTATCTTTGCAAAGTATATGTTATATGTCAGATATAGCAAATAGGTAATATCATAAACTTCCGTGGCTTGTGGCTAATACCTGGTTGTAATTCAGATTCAGTCAGATGACTATAAAATCCTTAGCAAGCAGCCACTGCAAATCGATTTTCGTTGGTACTTAAGAATAACTTCTTTTTACTAAATAGTGGTCTTGAAGAGTATTGTATTTCTATTAGAATTTTAAATTATGCTAAATTTTTTAAGCAAAAGCATTCTGGGGTATTGAGCAAGGCTATGTATGTGGATTTTGTTTTGTAGGCTGGGAATCAAACTAGGATTTCACACATAAGCTAAGTGTTTTACCACTGAGAACATCCCCATCGCTGTATATGTGTTTTCAGTAAGAAGAGGCAAATGGGAGAATATAGTGTAAATAAACAAGGAATAGTATTTAACCTAAGTTGATTACTTAGTGAATGCTTTTTACCTATATTCATTTATTCTGTGTTTGTTGAGTGTGTGTGTCACCAAGGTTATGGTAAAAAAGTTAGACAAGCCTTATGGTGTTTATAATCTAATAAAGGACAAATCCAGAAATAAAGAAGGAATGTTGTTAAGGAAGTCACTATGAGGCAGGACATTTAAGCAAAGATTTTTATCTTGAGATCATATATCTGAAGAACATACAGAGCATACCAGGCAGAGAGCAACATTGCCTGAGAATGGAAAGTAGAAGAATATTAAGTATTAAGAGAGGTGGCTAGACAGAGAGATAAACAGCACATGTTGTCTCTCATATGCAGAAGCTAGATCTAATATGCACCAGAACATCATAAATTATACCGGACTCTTAGCCATTTACACACAGAGACCAAAGGAGGAGGCGGCTATTTTTAGGAGAGGAGCAGAAAAGAACAATATCTGTGTGCGTCCGATCATATAAAATAATATTTATCGAAATGAACTCCAGGACATGAAAAGAAGAGGCTTTTTTCTTTGTTGTGTTTATGCTTTCTTTTCATTTTGTCTTGTTTTTCACTTATCTGTCTTTCAGAGGAGAGGAGGGGCACAGAAATGGAGGGACAAAGAGTGAACAAATGCAGCAGTAGTACTCACAGGACACTATGTTAAAAATAAACTATACAACTTGTGGGTGGGACAACAGGAAAAAACTGGGCGTGAGTGAGAGAAGGGGTGACATTGCCCAAAAAGAAATGTACTTATTACCTGACTTAAGTAATTGTACCCTCTCTGTAAATCACCTTTATACCAATATAAAAAAGAGAGGTGGCTAGAACAAATGAAGACTTTAAGTCAAATTTATTGGAAACTTTTAAGCACAAACCAACTTGGTTTTATTGATTTTCAAAAGATTTCACTCACTTGCTGTGTGGAGAAGGGACAAGAAAGGAAGCAATGAAATACCAATTAGAAGCTATGCATTAATGCATGGCAGGTGGCACAGGTAATTGGGATGACAATAGTAGAGGGTATGAAAATTGGTTGGCAATGTACCAAACTGTAGTGGTTTTCATTTGGGGGAGATTTTGTCCCTAGATGTCATGTGCTAATACCTGTAGATGTTTTGTTGAGGTTTTTTTTGTTAGTCGTGGGGCTTGAACTCTGGGTTTGGGTGCTGTCTTTGTGCTCTTCAGCTCAAGGTGAGCTCTCTACTGTTTGAGTCACAGCACCACTTCTGGTTTTCTACTGGTTTATTGGAGATTAGAGTCTCACGTACTTTTCCTGCCCAGTCTGGCTTTGAACCCTGATCCTCTGATCTCAGCCTCCTGAGTAGTTAGGATTACAGGCGTGAGCCACCTGCTCCTGGCTACCTGTAGATGTTTTTGATGTTTCCATTGAAGTAATGATGAAGCACCCTAAGGGGTACTACCTTAGATTTATTTTAACAGTGCACAGGACAGCCTTATCAGAATATTGTCTTGACCAAAATGCCAGCAGTTCCAAGGTTGAGAAGCCTTGTGCTATAGAGGTACAAGTCTAAGAGAAATTAAAATCTTGACCGTCTTAATTTTCAGTTTTATCACTGTGACAGAATACCTTACAGAAACAATTCAAAGGAAAAAAGGTTGTTTTTGTTCACAGTTTTAGCGGTTTTAGTCCTTGGCCAGCTATCTCCACTGCTTTGGGTCTGAGGCAAGACAGTGTCAGAGACAGAAAAGTGGTGGAAGAGATTGCTCTCCTCATGATGAGCTGTTGTGTGTGTGTGTGTGCGTGCGCGCATGTGCGTGTGCGCGCACATTCTCTCTCCTGTATATACAAACAGGTGTACTTTTCAAGGGCACATTCCTAGTCTATTTCCCTCAACTAGGCATCACCTCCTAATAGCCCCTTCAGCTATGGATTGATTGAGTCATTGATCATCCTTATGGCCTTTGTAGCAACACAATCACAGTAAACATCTTGTAAATGGGCTTACCAAGCAACATACATGCTCTGGTATTGGATCAAAAAGGATTTGAGAAAGAGACAGACCAGTTGAAGTTGAAACTGAGGATGCATGGGATATAATTTCACAAAAGGGGTTGATTGGACTGATATGAAAAGTACTTGTGGAAGAGTACAGAGTACATGCAAAACCTAGCTGGGGAGGAGTGTCTCTGACCCTCCCTCCTCTTCCCCTCTCTACTTCCCTCCCTCCCTTCTTCCCTCTTTCCCTCTCATACTGAGATTTGAATTCAAAGTTCTTGCTAGGTAGGTGCTCTACTACTTGATCCACACTCCCAGTTTTCTTTCCCTTAGTTATTTTTTGGGTAGGATCTCCCATTTATGCCTGGACTAGCCTTGAACCCTTCCACCTCCCAGGAGGCTGAACCTGAGCCATAGAGCCTGGTTGCAGAGTAATTCTTTGATTAGAATCTTTGGAGATGAAGGAGTTGGGCAGAGTAGAAAGTAACTTTATAGTCAAAGCCAGGGTTGTAGTGAGGTATGATGAAAGGTTTGAATTTTGTTTCTTACAGGCTGCTCCTTTATTGTTGTCTTACTAGTAAATTGCCAATCATCGTGGTGGCAAGAGGATTGGGAATTTGTACCCAGACTGCAAGATCTAATCTTTACCCTACCCTGTCTTACCCCCAAGTATTAAGTCACCATTGTTTGATTTTTATTTTTAGGGATTTAATCTTCCCGTTATTTAAATAAAAATGCTTTAAAATATCTTTTTTATAAACCATATAGAATGGGACATTTAATATTAAGTGGTACAGCACTTGCCTTGAGCAAAAAGAGCTAAGGGACAGGGCCCAGGCCCTGAGTTTAAACCCCATGACAGACAACAGAAAAACAGCCCTATAGAAACTGGCTCACGCCTGTAATCCTGGCTACTCATGAGGCTAAGATCTGAGTATCACTGTTCCAAGCCAGCCCAGGCAAGAAAGTCCATGAGATTATGATCTCTAATTAACCAGAAGAAAAAAAAAATCTGGAAGTGGAACTGTGGCTTAAGTGGCAGAGCATTAGCCTTGAGCAAAAAGCTCAGCGACATTGCCCAGGCCCTAAGTTCACATATTAGACATCGCGGGATGGGAAGGTGGCTCAGTGGTAGAGCACTTGCCTTGCATGCCTGAGGCCCTGGGTTCGATTCCTCAGCACCACATAAGCAGAAAGAAAAAAGCCGGAAGTGGCACTGTGGCTCAAGTGGTGGAGTGCTAGCCTTGAGCTGAAGAGCTGAGGGACAGCGCCCAGGCCCAGAGTTCAGGCCCCACGGCTGGACCCAAAAACAAAAAAAACAAAAACACATATTAGACATCGCCCAGGCCCTAGGTTCACATATTAGAAACAGCACAACAACCAAAAAAAAAACAAAAACCCCAAAACCAGTAGAAGTGAAGTGATTTTTAAAATCTCTATCTCTTTCTGTCTGTCTGTCTCTGTCTCGCTTCCTCTTTCTCTCTCTCCTTCTCTCTTTCTTTTGTCCTGAGCCAGCACTGTACCAATTGAGCTAGAGCACCATTTCTGGATTTATTTTTCTTTTTTCTTCTGTGATTAATTGGAGATAAGAGTCTCATGGACTTTCCTGTCTGGGCTGGCTTTGAATCTTCCTAAGAAGTTAGGATTACAGGCATGAGCCACTGGTGCCCGGCCCCTCTTTCTCTTTATAGCCTCTACATAATTACTTTTGTTTTCTTGTAATTATGGCATTAATAGCTTAATTAATTTTTACATAAAATTAGATTAAAAACTTTTCCGGAGGGAGTAACAATGCTTGATAGGAAATGTACTTATTTCCTTACTTATGTAACTGTAATACCTCTGTACAGTATCTTTACAATAAAAAAAAACTTTTCTATGTAGCAGTTACTATATATATAGGATTAATTTTTAGTAATTATTAATCATCTCTCTCCATGGCTATGCCAATTTTCTTTGCCATCTTATTGTTTCACATTTATTATATTTGTGCTTTTGTGAGTAATAATACTCCAATGAACATATAATGCAGATAACTGTAGTTGGTGGTTTAGTGGTGGGTTTTTTCCTTTGCATTTTAAAGTTGGTACGACTGAATAGTGCCTCTTATTTCATTTTTTTTTCAAATACTGGATTGTCTGTCAGCATTAATTAAGGAACTTTTCAAAAAAACTTACAGAAATTATGGAGAAGTCTGGTGAGGAAGGAATGCCTGATCTTGCCCATGTCATGCGCATTTTGTCTGCAGAAAATATCCCAAATTTACCTCCTGGGGGAGGTCTTGCTAGCAAGTAAGTACAACATAAAAAACTAATTATGAGGGGCTGGGAAGGTGGCTCAGTGGTAGAGCGCTTGCCTTGCATGCCCGAGGCCCTGGGTTCGATTCCTCAGCACCACATAAGCAGAAAGAAAAAAGCCGGAAGTGGTGCTGTGGCTCAAGTGGTAGAGCGCTAGCCTTGAGCTGAAGAGCTGAGGGACAGCGCCCAGGCCCAGAGTTCAGGCCCCACGACCGGACCAAAAAAAAAAAAAAACTAATTATGACTTCATTTATAAATAGTAATTAAATAATTTTAGGTTAAAAAACAAATTGGAAGTATAACATTATCTAGAGATTGAGATAATGTTCCTGAAAGAAGAAGTTTAAAACTTAGATTAAAAAAAAAACAACAGTCTTTGAAAGCTGTTGGCTCACGCCTGTAATCCTAGCTACTCAGGAGGCTGAGATCTGAGGATCACAGTTCAAAGCCAGCTGGGCAGGAAAGTCCTTGAGACTCTTATGTCCAATAAACAAGCAGAAAACTGGAAGTGGTGCTGTGGCTCAAGTGGTAGAGTGCTCACCTTGAGCTAAAGAGTTCAGGGACAGCGCCCTGGCCCACAGTTCAGGCCTCACGACTGACAAAAAAAAAGTCTTTGGGGATGAAAGTCATCTTGCTAACTAAGAACAAACAGATTGTGCACTATCAAATTCTGAGTGAAATGTGGAAATTTTCTTGAAGATTGTTGAGTGTGACTCTTGGTGTCTAGATTCAATATTATTTGAAATAAGAGATTAAAAATTTTCATAGTTTAATAAGACTAAAGCTTTTTTTTTTAGGCGCAATATTATCGAAGCTGTTTATAGTAGACTGAATCCAAATACAGAAAGTGATGGGGTAAGTTTCTCTTATTTCTTAAGCATTTGCAGTAATTTTACAGATAATAGATATTAATAATAAATATGAATACAAATAATAATACAATAATAATATAAATACAAATAATATGTGAGCATAGTATGTTTGTATATAACAAATTATAATTCTGTTTCACTTCTAAAGAATCAAAGATTGAGAAATATATTAAAACAGTAAAATTCTGTTTTATAGCTAGCTTCATTGTTAACCTTTATTTGTTTGGGCTATGCTTGTTCACTATCTGTATGTCTGTCCTTCCTTCTCCCTTATATCTTAATTTTGAAGCAAGTACATCTTTCTTCCTCCAGCTTGCTGTACCAGCATCAGAGGTTAGTAAGTTACCAATTTAAGGAGCAGTCGTTTCAGTTCCCCTGTGTACCCAGTTATAGTACCATGCTCTTGACTGTAGGAACAGTGAGCTCTGAAGTAGTCATTTCTGTGTACTGTGCTATGCTTTACAACAGATTCTTTATTTCTTTACTCCTTTAATATGCTGATGAGCTGCAGCTATCCTTCTACATAGCTTTTTAATACACATTCCAAGACTTACTTCCAAAGTTAGTAATTCAAATACATGTTCTTTTTCACATTAGAGTTTTCAAGGTTTGTGACATGTAAACATAAATGGTTTATTTTTTAATATGTATGTTTCAAAGCTTTAATGGTGGCACACTTAATAATGAAATTCCAAAGAAGACATATACCCACTCTACCAGATTTTGCCACCTCTTGGCAAATCTGAGAGAAGCAGAAGCCATTGGGAGACGTTACCTCTCAATGCAACTCCCACTGCATTGTTTTTCAGAGTTTGTTATTAAATAACAGTAAATACATTTTTTAATTTTTTCGTTTTTTTAAAAAGAATTTTCCTGGTAAAAGGAAAATTTCACTGTTAATACAAATTTACAAGGTTAAATAAAAATATAATTATAAGCCAGGTGCTGGTGGCTCACGCCTGTAATCCTAGCTACTCAGGAGGCTGAGATATAAGGATCTCGGTTCAAAGCCTGCCTAAGGCAGTAAAGTCCGTAAGACTCTTATCTCCAATAGCCACTCACAAAACCAGAAGCTCAAGTGGTAGAGTGCTAGCCTTGAGCTGAAGAGCTGAGGGACAGTGCCCAAGCCCAGAGTTCAAGCCCCACAACCAACTCCCCTTCCCCCCCCAAAAAAAAAAATGTATATTGCTAACAACCAAGTTGGTACCTGAGTCTAGAGCAGTGATTCTTAGTCCTTTTGTGGTTGGCATTTCAAAGTATTGAGAATTTCATTGGCTGGAGGTACTGCTCAAATGGGAGAATATCTGCTTTGCAAGTACAAGGCACTGAGTTCCGACCCCAGCACCACCAAAACAGAAGTTGTAAACATTAATTTAAAAGTAAGCCAGGTGCTGGTGGCTCACACCTATAATCCTAGCTACGCAGGAGGCTGGGATCTGATGATTGTGGTTTGAAGCCAGCCCAGGCCGAAAAGTCTATGAGATTCTTATCTCCAATTAACTGCCAGAAAGCAGGAAGTGGCTCTCAAGTGCTATCCTTTAGTGAAAAAGCTTAGAGACAGCTCCCAGGCCCTGAGTTCAAGCCCCACCGCCAACAAAACAAAATAAAAATATATGCCTTGTGATAAACTCAGAGAGACCTCATGCAAATGAGGATAGGAAGTTGGCACAACCAAAAAAGTGGTGATAATCTCGAAGTGGTGAGGAGCAGAAAACTCTCTTCAATTAGATTATATATTCAACATGATATCCACTGCCTTTGTTAGAGGAAATAAGTCTTCAGAAAAGATAATGATTGATCATTAGCTACTGATCATTCTCATTTCCTTCAGAATTAGAATCCTGGTGGCTAATCTTAAAAAATAATTCTTTCTGAAGAAAATTTTTACTCCAAACAAGATTTTAAACTTGTTCATTAGCCCTACATTTTTCATGTGTATCAAGAATTACTTCTGGGTCAGGAAGGTGGCCCAATGGCAGAGTGCTTGCTTCGCATGTATGAGCCTTTGGGTTCAATTCCTCAGCACCACATAAGCAGAAAAAGCCAGAAGTGGCATTGTGGCTCTAGTGGTAGGCCGCTAGCCTTGAGCTGAAGACCTGAGGGACAGTGCCCAGGCCCAAGGTGCAGGCCCACAACTGACAAAAAAAAAAGAAAGAAAGAAAGAAAAGAATAACTTCTGAACTTGTTTTCAGTACTCAAAGCTTCATGCTTGTTATTAAGCAGGCCCTCTTACCATTTGAGTCACTCCACTGGCCCTTTTGTGCATAGGTTATTTTTGAGATAGGGTCTCCAGTTAAGCCCTGGCTGGCCTGGACTAAGACCTTTATCCCTACATGCCAAGTTTTATACTTTAGGCATTTGTTCTCAATTTCATTGTTGCGTAGTTATGTTTTCTTTTTTAAAGTTCAAAACTTGCTGGGCACAGTGGCTCACACCTGTAATCATAGTTACCTGGGGGATGATAGTTGTTGAGACTTCATTTCAGCCAATGGCTCGGGCTACTATGATACTCAGTTATCCCCAGTATTGGGGTGGGGAGAGGGGAAAAAAAGCCGGGTGCTAGTGCTCATATCTGAAATCTTAGTGTTACTGAGGAAGCTGAGATCTGAGGATGGAGGTTTGGAGCCCAGGCAGGAGAGTCTGTGAAAGTCTTATCTCCAGTTAACCAGCAAAAAGCTGGAAAATAGAGCTGTGGCTCAAGTGGTAGAATATCATCCTTGAATGAAAAAGCAAAGCGACAAGCACCCAGACCTTGAGTTTAGGCCTCAGTACCTTTAGCAGCCTCCCCTCCAAAAAAAAATTAACTGTCATGTGAATTGAATTATAGGGATTATTATGCAAGTTCAATGAAGAAGTAAAAGATTCTGAGAGGAAAGTTAGGATTTTATAAATAGTATGAATAGCAGAAATGAGATGAGAAAGATAACCTTTCAAGTGAAGGATACAGGCAAGAACAAAATAGGTCTTAGAAAAGGCATCTTTTTTGTGTTATAATTTGTTGTAAGATGCTATGATGTATACAAAGTCCCTGCCTTCCCTAAAAATTGTATAAAAAGTACTATAACCCTGGGCTCGGGGCCTCTCAGCGTCATGGGCTGCTGCCATGTATGTGGGGAGACCAAGTTCTAGCTTGCAATAAAGACTCCTTTGCTCTTAAAAAAAAAAAGAAAGAAAAGGCATCTTTTTCTTAAGAGTAGAAAATTGCTATATAAAAAATAAACACTTTGTTGCAGAGCTATTTTCTGAGAGACTAGTCTTTTGAACTTGAGTATGAAGAACTATCATACGTTTGGAATTTCTGTAGCAGTTTTATTAGCATTTGCAGTAGTATATTAGACATGCTGGAAGTCAGATAGCTGTGAAATAATCTACAGAGACTAAATAATTAGTAGATATGGGTTAGAGCATTTACCCATTTACTACTAAAACTGGCTATATACCAAAATCCTCTTTGGGGGAACATTATTATTACTCTTTCAGAATAATCACTACCTTAGAAAAATAGCAAACAAATAGCACACATAGTTGAAATGTATTGAAAATACCAAAGAAACAGAAAGAGTGGAAAGCTGGGCACCAGTGGCTCACGCCTGTAATCCTAGCTACTCAGGAGGCTGAGATCTGACAATCATGGTTCAAAGCCAGCCCAGGCAGGAAAGTCTGTGAGACTCTTTTAACTCCAGTAAACCACTAGAAAACCAGAAGTGGTGCTGTGGCTCAAGCGGTAGAGTGCTCGTCTTGAGCTGAAGAGCTGAGGGATAGCGCCCAAGCCCAGAGTTCAAGCCCCACTACCGACCAAAAAAACAAACAAACAGAGTGGAAAAAATACATTATGTATAACTCTTAAATTGATCCATTATAATTAGCAGTTAGACATAATCACTTGTGCTCCATAAATTCCTGTTAGATCCTCAGTATTGCTAGGAGCAAAGGCTCAACTTGTAGAAGTTTAGTAGAAGTACAGAAGATGAAAATGTTGGAAGGGATTATAAAAATTATGCTTTTTATAAAAGCATAAAAATATTCAGGTTTTTTAAATACATAAAATGCCATTCAAAGTTGAATCCTTTTTTTAACATTTCCATTGGTGTGTATTACAAAATGGGGTTTCATTGTGATATTTGTGTACATACATATATTTTGATCAAATTCTTTTACACTCTTAAAATAGCTGCTTTTAGCCCAGAGTCAGTGGCTCACAGCTATGATCCTAGCTATTCAAGAGGCTGAGATCTGAGGGTTGCAGTTTGAAGCTGATCCTGGGCAGGGTAGTCCATGAGATTTATTTTTTTTTTAATTTTTTTTGGGGGGGAGTCCAGTCATGGGCCAGAACTCTGGGCCTGGGCACTGTCCCTCAGCTCTTCATCTCAAGGCTAGCGTTCTACCACTTGAGCCACAGCACCATTTCCAGCTTTTTTCTTTTTGCTTATGTGGTGCTGAGGAATCGAACCCAGGGCCTCAGGCATGCAAGGCAAGTGATCTACCACTGAGCCACCTTCCCAGCCCGTCCATGAGATTTTTATGTCTAGTAAACTACCAAAAAAGGTGGATGTAGAGCTGTGGCTAACCTTGAGCAGTAAGAAGCTTGGACAGCACTCAAGCTCTGAATGCAAACCCCAGGACTGGCACCCTCCAAAAAAAACTTCTTCCTGCTATAAATACTTACAAATACTGCCATTAGGCATAAAAGTTTATCCATATTTTTATGTTTGAAAATATCTGTAATCTAGTAAAGAGCGTCTTTTACATGAGACTACAACTCACAGAATGACATTGACTAATGCTTATCCTCCTTTAAGCCCCCCAAAAACTCTATATTGTTTTTATATTTTTAAACTGTATATATAATCTTTCCCATTTTACCCCAAATGGATAAATGTAATATAGTACAGCTTCTTCTACATATTTGAGAATTTTTAGTTATAAAAATTTTTTCAGAATTTAAGGCATAGCTCAAATGGTAGAGTACCAGCTGTGAGCAAA